CCTCGGCAACACGCGCTGGAGGACTCAAGAGCGGTGAGGCGAGTGGCTGGCGCGGGCTTCTGGTGGGCGGGCGGTACGGTCCCGTGCCGGAGATCAGGGCCTGAGGGCCAGGGGTTCGAGTCCAGCCCCCGCCGGACGACCTCTCAGTGCCTCCCCTGCTCTCTGAGCACCTCCCGTGTGACAGGCCCAGGACCAGGCGGCGACTCAGCGCTCTTGGGGCCACCAGTCCTGGCGGCGAAAGGCCCAGACGATGAGTGACAAGCTGGACAGCGAAGTAGAGTGAAGGGAGACGGCGATCTGGGATGGGGAGGGTGTGCGGCGGGACGCCCGTGAGAGAAGAAATGTGGATGCGAGACTGAGATGAGAAAGGAGGGTAGAAGGGGAAGCGGTGGGGACGGGCTAGGTGTGGGACGAGGGAGCCTGGTGGGGGGGGTCGGGCCTGGGGGTCAAGCCCTCGGCCTAGCCCTGTTTGTCCCTGTGCAGGGCCCAGAGCCCATGGAGGGCTGCAGCCAGTATAGCGGCAGTGCCCTGGGCAGCCCCGAAGCCCCGGCACCTCAAGAGGAGGAGGAGGAGCAGGGGGAGGAGGGAGCTGGCACGGCCTCAGGGTCCAGGCCTCAGCTGGGCCTCTACAGCTACATCAGAGACGACGTGTTCACCTCGGAGATCTTCAAGCTGGAGATGCAGAATGTGCCTCGCCATGCCAGCTTCAGCGACGTCCGGCGCTTCCTGGGCCGCTTTGGCCTGCAGCCCCATAAGACTAAACTCTTCGGGCAACCACCCTGCGCCTTCGTAACATTCCGCAGTGCTGCCGAGCGGGACAAGGCCCTGCGAGTGTTACATGGCACCCTCTGGAAAGGTCGCCCACTCAGCGTGCGCCTGGCCCGGCCCAAGGCCGACCCCATGGCCAAGAGGCGGAGGCTGGAGGGTGAGGGTGATCCTCCTGCCACTCGAGTGGCCGATGTGGTGACCCCTCTTTGGACAGTGCCCTACACTGAGCAGCTGGAGCGGAAGCGGCTGGAGTGTCAGCAGGTGCTGCAGAAGCTCGCCAAGTGAGTGTGGGTGCAGGGCACCCCTCTGCCCCAAGTCCTGCTCTGCCCCACGCTTGCTCAGCCTGCCCACTCCGAGCAGGATGGCCAGCATGGGGCCCAGCACTCTTTCAGGGAGCTAGCCAGTGTTCAATGGACACAGTGATGTCCCTAGGGAGTGACTGAGCATAGGTGGGGGCAGTGGGCAGAGTCCCACCATGGATCTGCCTCCTCCTGCAGGGAAATTGGGAATACCAACCGTGCCCTGCTGCCCTGGCTGCTTGCACAGAGGCACAAGCACAACAAGGCCTGCTGTCCGCTGGAGGGGGTCCAACCATCACCTCAGCAGGTCAGCCTGGGCTATGGCAGCCACCAAATTCTACCGTGCTTTTAAAACTTCCCTTGTGCTCACTCTTCCCATCAGTGTCCCTGCTTTATGTTTCATTCTGGCACTCACCACGTGGCTGTTAGTAGGCCTCTTGGTTTTGACTGCCAGCCCCCATGGGGAGTTCAGGGTTTCTCCACACACAGGTGCTGGACAGCCAGGGTGAGGTCTGGCTGTCTCTCTGCCTCCCGCCTCCCTGCAGACTGAGTATCGTAATAAGTGCGAGTTCCTGGTGGGCGTCGGGGTGGACGGGGAGGACAACACAGTCGGCTGCCGGCTCGGCAAGTACAAGGGTGGGACATGTGCGGTGGCTGCCCCCTTTGACACCGTGCACATCCCTGAAGCCACCAAGCAGGTGGTGAAGGCCTTCCAGGAGTTCATTCGGTGAGGACCTGAGGCTGGGCTCCTGGGAAGTCTTTTGCATTCTGGGAAAAGAGGGCAGGGACCCTGCCCCAAGGCTTTTGGGGTGCCCTCAATGGTGGTCAGATGGGAGAGGGTATGGCTGGAGGAGATAGCAGGGAGGCTGCTCCCCAGTCCTGGCTGGCAGATGTCAAGAACTCAAGGCCACCTGTGACTCCCACAGGTCCACTCCATACTCAGCGTATGACCCAGAGACATACACAGGCCACTGGAAGCAGTTGACTGTGCGCACCAGCCGCCGCGGCCAGGCCATGGCCATCGCCCACTTCCACCCCCAGGTCTCAGGCAGGGGCCCTGCCGGGGGGTGTCTGCCCTGGGTAGGCCTCAGCACAGTCTTACAGGGTCTTCTCACCCCTTGTTCCAGAAACTGAGCCCCAGGGAACTGGCGGAGCTGAAGGCCTCCCTAGCACAGCACTTTGTGGCAGGGCCAGGCAATGCCAGTGGGGTGACCTGCCTGTACTTCGTGGAGGAGGGACAACGGTGAGGAGCCTGGGAGGGGACAAGGTGGGTCCCCACAGGGGAGGTGACACTGAAGGTTCTGCACCTCCACCCACAGAAAGACTCCCAGCCAGGAGGGCCTGCCCCTGGAGCATGTGGCTGGGGACCGGTGCATTTATGAGGACCTGCTTGGGCTGACCTTCCGGATCTCTCCTCACGCCTTCTTCCAGGTAACCCTGAGTCCCTGGTGGGCACAAGGACACGTGGAGCAAGGCATGATGCACCATCAGGACATGATGGGGATGGTGGGTTAGGATGGTGACACACACTGGTTTTATCTGGGGAGAGCATCCAGGCAGGGGAACCCCAGGGGAAGGGCTGAGGCAGGAAAGAGGTTGTTCGTCACAGGGAGGCTGCAGAATAGTCCCCAGTGCAGGGCACACTGCACCACCAGGGGACAGTGGTGGCCTTTGGGCACACTGTTTCAGGCTCATTCCCAATACTGGGGGGGGGGGGGGGGGGGGGTGTGCAGAGAGACTCTCAAGGGAGGTGTGGGGTCTGGAGCCTGTAAGGACCCTCTTTTAGACACAGGCCTGGCAGGACTTGAAGGTCCAGAGGTGGAGATGGCGGTGGTAGTTGGGTGACTCCAGGGGCCCCAGTGGGAGGCGAGGTCCCCCCTTGCTGGTGTAGGAAGGTATGGCCCATTGGGCAGCTGTGGGGGCCCTGCAAACCTGCCACTCAGGGGAGGGCTCCCTACAATTAGGGGTGGGGGCAGGAGAGTTGGCATGGATTTGGCCCTTGAAGCCAGGAGGCTGGGTGGGATCACCAGCATGGTGTGGTCAGAGGGGTGGCTTGAGGCTGGGACGGGGAAGAGGGTGGGCTGCCTGGGCCCCGAAGTTTTAACGGGGGAGCCAGGGGTCAGGCATGCTTGGGGTGCAGGAGGGGAGGCCTACATACGGGCACCATCACCACCCTCCAGGTAAACACACCTGCGGCCGAGGTGCTCTACACAGTTATCCAGGACTGGGCACAGCTGGATGGGGGCAGCACGGTGCTGGATGTGTGCTGCGGTACTGGCACCATTGGCCTGGCCCTGGCCCGGGTGAGCCCTCTTTCCACCCCATGATCCCCACCAGTCCTGTCCTGCCCCACGCCCAGCTCCTCTGTCTCCTGCCACTACCCTTCCTGAGGAGTGCTGGGCAGGTACCACTGTCTGTGGCCTTCCTGTTTCAGAAGGTGAAGAGAGTCATTGGGGTTGAGCTGTGCCCTGAGGCGGTGGAGGACGCCAGGGTGAATGCCCATGCTAATGGTGAGCACAGCAGGCAGGCCGAGGGGAACCGCCATCACCCTCCCTCCCCTGTGCCCTGCGTGCCTCCAACATGGCACCTAGAATCCACCCTGGACTTGAGGGCCACTGGGGGTGCAACAGGGCTACCTGCAGACACTCCATGCACCCAAGTCCTGAGAGCCCAGCAGGGAGGCAGGGTGAGCAGGCTCCCAAGGCCCCTCTGGCCCTGCCAGGGTAAGGTGTCCAGAGCCCACTGACAGGCTGTGGTGCCATCTCCAGAGCTGAGCAACGTTGAGTTCCACTGCGGGAGGGCTGAGGACCTGATGCCTGCCCTGGTGAGCAGACTGGCCTCCCACCAACTTGTGGCCATCTTGGACCCACCCCGTGCTGGCCTACGTGAGTGGCCTCTGCATGGGGAGGTGGCACAGGGAAGACAGGTGTCAGGGTGGCATGCTAGGCTGTGCAGTCTCGGGCCTTAGGCACCCAGCCCGTGTCTGCCTCCTCAGACTCCAAGGTGATCCTGGCCCTCCGCAGAGCTGAGAACCTCAAGCGGCTCCTCTATGTTTCCTGCAACCCTCGGGCAGCCATGGGCAACTTTGTGGAGTGAGTGTCAGGCAGGGCAGGGTGGGGAGCCAGGGCCCAGCCTCCCACTGGAGCCCCTGGCCAGCCATGGGGCTGACCTTGGCGCTTTCTCCTTCCCCACCACAGCCTCTGCAGGGCCCCGTCTAACCGTGTGAAGGGCACCCCATTCCAGCCAGTCAAGGCTGTGGCCGTGGACCTGTTCCCACAGACCCCACACTGCGAGATGCTCATCCTGTTCCAGAGGGTGGAGCACTCCAACGGCACAGGGGTCCTGGGGCCCCAAGATCCTTCAGCCCAGCCCCCACCAGGGCCCCAAGATGACACCCCACAGGACATTGGGGCCTCCCTCTCATCCTAGGCCCTGTGACCAATAGCAGCCAACTCTTCTAGACCACGGCCTGTCTGTCACAGGGACAGAAAGAAGGCCAGGGACCCCTACAGCCCTGCCCAGGTGCTCCACGATGCAGAACAGCCAGCAGCCCCGCCAAGACCAGCCTGTGGCCGTGTGCCATGGGCTCTAGGCTCTGACTAGGAAGGTGGGAGGTCTCTTGCGGCCCATTCCCCATCTCCATGTGCCTTCTGGAACAGCTGGATGGCTGGAATAAACAATGCTGAACTAAGGACGTTTCTCTGATGAGCCAGAGCTCGGGCATGAATGGGTTCCTCTCAGCCCCCCACCATGGGTGCCAAGGGGCAAGGCACCTTGGCCCTGTTTGGCCTGCCTGGACCTAGGTCCCTACTGGCACCCTTCTCACCAGACTTGGGCACAGCCAAAAATCTGTCCAGCTAGGGTGGAGGGTGGGTGGTGGAGCAGCTCTCCAACCCTTCTGCTCTGTTGCGGGAGTCAGTACAAAGAGCCTGCTTTTAACAGAATGTTGAATTTTACACTTAAACCCATGAAGAGGCAGAGATGCAGATCTCAGAAACAAACACCACCTGGGAGTGCTGGGTGGTGGGCACTGGGCAGTAAGCTGAGGCCACCTGCCTTCCCCAGCGTGGACAGCAGTTGCCACTCCTGCACCTGACCAAGGGAAGGGCCCTCAAACCCTCAGCCCAGGAGGGAGGACAGTGATCAAGGAGGGACCCAGAGCCACATTGAAGTGCTGCTCAGCCCTATAGAAGCCACTGTGTCCAGAAGGCACCCACCCCACAGAGGGTCCAGGATAGGCAGCTGAGGGCCCCTGAGCCCCTCAGCTCCTGCCCTCAGAAGAAAAACAGCAGCCACTCCTTTTGGACAGTTTGCTTTATGCGTTCAGACAATACAGGCTTGCCTTCCAGCCATGGCCCAGTGCCCAGGGGCATCCGCACAGGCTCCCCCACAGCAGGACTGCACGCAACTTGCACCCACACTTGGTGGACAGAGGGGAACACAGTGCGAGGGGACCAGTGAGCCACAGTGAGGCTCCCTGGCCTCTAGGGGGACAGGTGTGCACAAAGCTTTGGTTCACAGACGCATCTGGCTGTCTAAGGGCAACAGTTACAGTCAAAGGATTATTCACAGCTGCAGACATAAGGCAAGACAGAAGCAAGTATCTAATTATAGCAACTTGATTCAGGGGTTTCTTTTGAAAGGTCAACACAGAAGCCAACCTTGGTCACACAGGTGGTGAGGGAGGGATATGCTATGGGTGACCCACAGGCTGACATTCCATCTTCTGGACAAAAACACCATCACCACCACCCATGGGCAGCATGATGGGGCAGATGCCGCAGAATGCTGGGCTCCTGCATTGGTTGGCATGGCACAAGCACACGGCAGCCTCGAAAGGTGCTGTGGATAAGGCTCTGAGTACAACCTCATGCCCTGGGACACAACAGGAGCACAGTTCCAACTCTGCTCCATCTACAGGGGCCCATCAAGCACCGGTGCCAGGCAAGAAGCAAACTGGGTGTGGGGCCTGGCTGCATGGGGTGGCTGCCTTCAAGATCCAGGGAAGCCACTGTCACCGGGAGGCAGCAACCTGACATGCGCTTGGCCAGCTCCGTGTCGAGAGTGGACTGCACTGAAGGGCCCTTGCTTTCTGTTTAAACAAGTCCACTTGCTAAAATGCATGATTCCAAATCTACCTTCTACCCTCACTGTAAAAGTTTCTTTCCAAATGCTGAAATATCAAAAACTTTAAAAATCGATAAGTGGACAGATGGACTTGACTGTGCAAAAATCTTTGTAAAAAACCGTTGCCAGAGGCCAGCGAATGTGGGGCCTCAGTGTCCAGGGAGGCGTGACCTTAGGGCATTAAGACTTGATCGGAACAGTGGGCTGCAGCAGGCAGCGACACTGGGGGCTGCAGGACGTTGTCGTCCCTGCTGGCATCACGTCTAGGCTAGAGAGCAACCACCCTGTCAATGGTTTGCCTGCAATCTCTGAAAAGTAGTGCTGATGCTAAAAGTCTGTTATTTTAAACCAAGAAGGTCTGAAATACTCCTAACTGTTATAACTTTTTCAGAGAAAAAGGGAAAACACAGAAGGCAGGTGGGGGCGAAGTGCCACATGCACCTCTGGCCAGCTCCCCGCAGAGGCTCTGCAGGAGTCCTGGGCACAGGGGCCACCTGGCACCACAGGCCAGCCACGGCCACAGCACTCAACATCCTTTCTCAACTCATCCATCATCAGTATCATTTGCTGTCAGTGCACGTTACATACTAAAATTCATGAAAACCTTCATAAAGACAGTCTGCAGCAGGTACACACAAACACGGTCTACAGCTGTCTAGAAACTACCAGCTTCCACCCGTGAGGTACTCAGAGTTGATCCTTTAACACATCCATTAGGCCTGGGAGAGCTTCGAAGGGAGAACCATTGCCTCACGTGTGTGCTGTGTGGTCATGACTGTCCCTGTGTGCTAGAGCCCCCACCTCTGGCCCAGGCCCTCAGACACACTGGCCACAGGGGAGGAACTCAGGTTGGAGGTCTGACTCTGCGATGAGCGATGCGTGACTGGTGGTCTCCTCAGCAGTGCCGCTGGCGGCCCCCGCGCCCCGGCCTGTGCTGCCTCCTCACACATCCACAGTGCACAGGGGCTCGCCGCCAGGCTGGGCAGACGCCACAATTGACATCTTGGGCTTCTTCCGAGTCTCCTCCTGAAAGAACAACAGCTCAGGGATGCCAACGAACTGGGCTTGGCAAAGGGCTCAGGAGGGCCAGGGTGGAAGCAAGCCCTGCCAACTGGTGCTAGGAGGCTCCAGCAGCCCAGATGACACCAGTGCCTGTGATGCCAGGCTGGGAGCAGGACAGCATGGGGAGCAGACTAAGCTAGGACTGGAGAGGGCCCCCAGAATGCCATGGCAAAGCACCACATGCTGCAATTTCCCTGGTGTCAGGACGCACACCCAGAAGCAAAGAAGTCAGGTGTGGACACAGTCACAAGCCAAGTCTCTCCCTAGCCCAGCTTTTGTTTGTCCCAGGGCCCAGTCAACCCCTTTCACCAAGCCAGGGCCTGTTGCCCTCAGCCCCCATAGCCCCTCTCCTGACCAGGGATAGGCCAGGCAGTCCTGCTAGGTCCAGGTGGACAAGGCTTCCCACCTCTGCCTAGGGCAGGAGCAAGACACCTCCTGGCCTCCAGCCTGTTGAGGCAGGGCAGGGCAGCAGATGCCGAGTCCTGGGGCTTTCATGTAGGCCCAGGGAATGCCACAGCCAAGAAAGCTCCTGCCCAGGAGGGGCGTGAGTAGCCACATGGACTATGCCTGGGGACAGGATACCACTGTCAACCTGACAGTCCCCTCTTGGTGTGGGACACCCAAGGTGGCTTTAGGAAGCCTCGCTGGGATGAAGCCCTACCAGGTGAACCTGTGAGTTCCCCAGGGTACCTGGCCAGCACACTGATCCTGCCCTCAAACGCCAGTGGGATTTCAAAACCCAGAGTCAGCGTACAGAGGTCATGCCCATGACCGAACACCAGGCTGGCCTGCCAGCTCTCTACTGTAACTAAAAGTAAAGTGATTTTATAAAACTTCACACATGCTGAAGCTTAAAGAAAGCCAGCCTCATCTGGAAGAAGGGTCCTGGCGCCCCTCATCTTGGGAGAGATGTGGGAGGGCAGATGCGGGACAGCACTCACCCTCTCCTCTGCCAGCCTCTTCATCTCCTCCTGCAGCTTGCTCAGAATGTGCAGGTTGGGCTTGTTCTTCTTGGCGTACTGCTGCAGCTCGATCACACTCTTGTCCGAGGTCTCCTGGGGACACAGGGCCTCGCTCTCAGGACTGCCTGGCAGGCACAGAGCAGCCAGGAGATGTGGCCACCCACTACACACTGGCTGCCTATCCTCACCAACGCCTGGCCTGCTTTCTGGCCACACCACCCTGCTTCTACCTCCTCCTGCCTGGGCAAGACAGGGAGGCTGGGTGCTCTCTGGACCCCAGGTACCCATCAAGTAGAGAGATGAGCACACGGCCACAGCCAGCGGGGACTGCATGCTGGCCCCAGGCACTGAGCTCTCTGTGCATCCCACAGCTTACACAGCCAAAAAGCTGTCCTTGACCCCTTCCTGCCTTCAGAGGCCATCCAGGAGGGTGCCTGCTGTGCCCTGGGATGCTGGAACTGCCCTGGACTAGGCTGTGCAGGCTGGGACTCCTCGTCCTCCAGCTTTAGAGCGGTACCCCCAAAGCAAGGCTTGCTCTCGCCCTCTCAGTCTGCACCTAGGACTGTGCGCAGCAAAGGCAGAAACAAGCTTTACCTACATTTTAACTCCTTGCCCAAAAGTGTCATCCTTCACACACCTTGGTGGCCTGTGTGGCCTCACCTTGCCTTGTCATGCCCATAGCAAGGGCCTCTTCACGGTCCTAGGGAACCTGAACGTGGTGCTGCGCTCTCCCTGGCCTCTGGCTCAGCCTGAGGGCCCGTGGCACAGTCCTCAGGTCACCCATAGTAGCGCGTTCCCCTCATACCCACTGCCCCTCCACCAAGCGGGATGTAGATAACCCCGTTTCCATAAACATTGGGAAAAATGAAGAACGTGAGCACTCACCTTCCAGTGCTTCCCTCCACCCCTTGGGTGCAGGCATCAGCTTACACATCAAGACCACGGCCACAATAGAAATAAGACAGGTGGCACACACGCACTCTTCCAATAAAGGCAGACCAGGTAGAGCTGCACTGATATACTCGGTCTCCTTCAAGCCACTGGGCATCAACTAAGCCCAAGGGTGTGCCACTCAGGGAGGGCCAGGGGCCTAGCTCCTGAGCCTTCATGGCCCTCAGAGCTAAGTGCACCACCAGAGTCTCCTGCCTGGCCCTGCCTTGCACTCCAGCCACCTCACCACCAGCCACAGGGCTGGACCCAGGCAGTGCCCGATCACTCACACTGCACTGACCACTCCCAGCAGGTTCAGACAACCCCACATCCCCTGCCCACAAATTCACGGACATGCCATAGGAGAGGCAGCCACACTCTGCCACACCCTGCCCCTATGACAGCAAAGCCCCAGACACAAGCTCCACGGTGAGAGGAGAAGCAGAGGCTATCCTCGGACTCGAGGGGGCTACTTACCTGCTTGACCATCTTGCTGCTCTCGCGGCCATACATGCGCAGTAAAGACCCCCAGTTCTTGACATGTGGGTGCAGCAGCTGAAGGATTTTCTGAGAGGCTAACTGTTTTCCAACTCTCTTATTTTTACCTACAAAGAGAAAGCAAACATGGAGAGTGTTGTCACGAGCATCCTGCATTCACATAACCACCTCTCCTCAACAGGAGCTCCTACTATTCCTGGCCTCACCAACCCAACACCCTGAGGGCCAGTGGGGCACACTGTGCCACTGCACTGGGCACCCATGTCTCATGGCACCCAGCTGCCACCTTGCTATGGCCATCTGCGGCTCCAAGAGGTGAGGGCATGCACCCAAAGCCACGCAGCTAAGAAGCCTGCCTCTCTCCCCAGCCTTACACTCTAGACACAAAGCAGCAACGTCCTGCTGGCTGTTCTGGGAGGAATAACACTCCTCCTGCCATGGGGACAGGGCTGGACAGAGACAGAGGCGGCAGGAGGGCACAGGAGGAAGACGTGAGATACAAGCAGGATGGCCTCCAGCCCTGCCTTGGGCTGAATGTGTGGCAGCCAACACACAGCTAGACCAGCCCAATGCCACCACCAGGGTCCTTGGGAAGCAGTAGAGAAGGGTCCTTACACCACCCACGAACTGTGTGCTTGCCACACGCCATGACGTATTCGCTCTTCTGGTTTTTCCCAGGAACCACTTCAAACTTGATGGACGTGTCACCCATTCCATGGTTTCTTTAACAGAAAACAAAGAGCAGGCAGCATCAACTGAGGAGGAGAGAGGGCTGCTTTGGGAAAGCCCTTCAAGGCTCTCTGAAGAAAAGGCCAGGCCTCTCCCCACACTGCGTCTCAGCTGGGGAGGAGGAATCCCTGGCACACCTGACTCGACCCTACGGCTCTGACTGACAGCCTGGGCCAAAGGGATTCTGTGTACCCAAGGAAAACTGGCAATGCCTCCACCCTGGGACAAACAGCCACTGAGGATGTGGGGTGCCAGACAGGAGCTCGCCCAACCTGACCCTGCAGGGCAGGCGCCCTCCCGCCCTACCTTTTAAGGCACTCGTGGAGGATCTGATATGGAGACAACAGCCCGGCCTTGCTGGTCAGCTCATAGACCCGTGAGTCCTCGATACTGATGTGGTTAAAATACTACAACACAAAGCAGACGCCTGTGAGTCCTCACCAGGCCTACCGGCCTCTCGGAGCTGGCTTCTCTCAGAGTTGTTTCCTATGACATCCCCTAAGCATGACACCCCACAGCCCTGCAAGGGACTAACTGGGCACGGACAATGTTCTGTACCTCCCTGTCCACTGCATCACTCTGCTCCCCTAAGCACAGTGGGACGCAGTCTGGTGCCCACAGCTGGCTAGGGACACCTCTTCGGAGTCTTACTCTGATCAACAAAACACAGTTCTTCAGAAATTTAAAGACAAACCACCCTCGGAGAGAACCTTTACAGTCATAATTACAATGAGAGAGAGAAGAAAGGCTAGACACAAAAGCTGCACTTTAAAAAGGCCAAGCAAGCTCCCTGAGGGCCAGAGCCCACACAACCACACAGAGTCCCACCAAGTCGGGCTGGCAGGGCCTGGCGCGGCTGTTTCCAATGGCGTCTTCACCCCGGTTCTGCAGCAACTCACTCTGAACAGAGAGGGCAGGAAAGGGCAATACAGAAGCAAGTTAACCAGGTCACACGTGAGGAGGACAAAGGGGAAATTCTGCACAGCAAGGCTAGGGGAAGCTGGACAGGCGTGAGGTGGCCGAGGGATGTGTGAGGTGGAGCCACAAGGACAGGCCGCCCGACCTCGCCATCCCTGATGCAGTCTCTGGCCAAAGGCTGAAGCCAAGACCCCTGCTGGGTGAAAAGAAGATGCCATCCAGCCCACTCTGGAGCACAGACCACCTCCCTGGCGGAGCTACAGTGGTCAAGCACCACCAACTGGCCTTTGAACAACAGAGGTTTATTTTCTCAGTTGTGAAGGCCAGAAGCCTGGAGTCAAGGTGTCGGCATGGCTGCACTCCCTCAGAAACCTCTAGGTTGATAAAAGTAATTAGCAGGACATACACGCCCTGTAGTCCCAACCATTTGGGGTGCCGAGGTGGGAGGATCACTTAAGGCCAGGAATTCAAGACCAGCCTGGGCAACACAGCAAGACCCTGTCTCTAACAACAACAAATTAGAAGCTTCTAGGAGAGGATCCTTCCTCACCTCTCCCATCTCCTGACCACCCCAGGCAGCCCTAGCTTACAGCAGCATCCCTCTGCTCTCCACGTGGCCTGCTTGCCCTGTCTCTCCCCTTCTTCTTAGAAAGACACCAAACTACCCCACTGCATGTGATGTCGTATTAATCTAACTAACTGTATTTGCAATGACTCTTTCCAAAGGTCACATTCTAAGGTACTGGAGATTACCGCTTCAACATATCCTTTTGGGGGACACAAAGACACAAAGAACAGGGTCTGCCTGCAATCTGAGCAAGGTCTTCCCAGCTGACAAGCAAACCTTAATTAAGAGTTGGCACCACACCTGCAACAGTGGAGCCCACCACCAGAGGGGTCCACACCCCTCATGGACCTTCCCACTGGCCCTATTCTGCGGAGCTCTGCAGAGACCTGAAGCCGAGGCCAAGAGACATACTCCGGGCCTCACGTGTGGGCACGTAAGGAAGCTGGAATCGGACGATTCAAACAGCTCGCTGCAAAGGCCCCCACAGGTGCGCCACGATCTCAGCAGTGGTGCTGGCTCTGCAGATGAGGAAGAAAGTGGCTCCTGGGCCCTCCCCCTGCTTGGATGGGAGGCAGACTCACTGCCAACCACGTGGAAGGAGGACGGCACTGTCCCTGAGGACTGCCCAGGCCAGCAAGCATGGTCTGGCTCTTCTCTTCAAAGAGTTCCCCACAAGACACTTCTCTCCACACATGCCTGCATCAGTATGGGCCTATTTCCAAGGAGAGTCCCTCACAAAGACATCAGGCTCTGGATCCAACCTCAGGGAACCAACCAGACAGCCAATCAATTCGTGACGCCTGACCCTCTGACCCCCTTGGCCTGTAAGGCCCTGCTCTCTAAGCAGCGGTCAGTCCCTGGGTGGCAGGCCTGGCACTGGAGCTGAGCAGATGGCAACAACGTGCACGCTCCAGAGCTCTAGGACCCACCCTGGCACACACCTCACTGGGCAGCACGGCTCAGGACAGACACCAGTCTCTGGCAAAAACCTGGGCCAGGACGACCTGCACTGAGCTGCCACAGGCCAGTCACACAGCTGAGGGTTAACGGCAGGGACAGGTAGAGGCTCCAGCTCTGCAGATAAATGGCAGAAGTGACCTATAGACAAGTCACTGCTACTTCTGACAAACAGCACAGAAGGAACCTGAGTGATCAGTGCCCAGGAGATGTTCAAGGCCCATGAGGGAACATCAGACAACCTGACACCCATAAATTCAACAATCTGGATAAAATGGACCAATGCCTTAAAAAAATACAAATTATCTAAACAGCCTGAATAGCCATATATATATTCAAGAAATGGATTCTGTACTTAAATACTTTCCCACTAGGAAAACTCCAGGCCCAAATGTTAAGAAAGAAATTACACCAATTCTACAGACTCTTTTGAAAAACTCAAGAGAAAGGACACTCTCCAACTCATTTTATGACGCTAACAGTACCACAGTATTAACACCAGGCAAAAATAGTACAAAAAACTATACACAAAACTAAACAAAACACTACAACATCCCTCATGAATACACATGCAACACTGTATTAGCAAACTGAAACCATTAACACATAAAAAGAAATATATCCGATGCCCTCGTAAGACTTATCCCATCAACATAATTATCTACAGTAACAAATTAAAGAAGAAAATTAGATGATAAGGTCAACAGATACAGAAAAGGCATTACACAAAATCCAACACTATTTCATGGTAAAAGCACTTAACAAACCAGGAATATTGGCGACCTTTCTCTACCTCATGAGGTGCATCTACAAAAAACCTACAGCCAACATCACAGTTGATGGTGCTTCCCCTAAGGCCAGGAACAGAGCCATCTGCTCTCATCACTTCCGGTCAACAGTGCACTGGAGGTCCTAGCCAGAGAAGTCAGACAAGAACTAAAATAGAAAACATCCAGATTGGAAAGAAAGAAATCCAACCATCTTTAATCAAATCATAGTCGACATAATCCTGCACATAGAAAATCCAAAGTCTACTGAAAAACTAGAAAGAAAAAAAACTTATATGAGTTTATATAAGAAAAAAATATATATGAGTTTAGCAAAGTGACAGGGCACAAGGTCAATATACAAACAATAAATTGTATCAATGCTAGATGAACAACCAGAATTGACACTAGAGTACTACTCAATAATGCCAAACATATGAAATACCTAAGTATAAATCTAATAAAATATGTGCAGAATCTATGTGCTGAAAACTACCAACTTCTTTGATATGAGAGATATCAAAGACCTAATAAATGGAGAAATAATCTATGTTTATGATTTAGAAGACTCAATATTGTTAGGATGTCAATTCTTCCCAAACTGATCCACAGATTATTAACACAACTCCAATTAAAATGCCATTTGAATTTTTTATAGAAATCAACATACAGTTTCTAAAGTCTACATGCATATCAGCATACTTACATGAGTAAAAAAAAATATATATAAAATAAAAAATAAAAAATAAAAAAAATAAAGTCTACATGCAATGGCAAAGGAGCTAGAAAAGCCAAAAAAGATTTTGAGAAAGAAAAACAAAGTCTGAAGATTCAAGTCATCAAGAAGGTGTGGCATCAGTGAAAGGACAGACAAACAGCTCAAGAGACAGAAGAGAGCCCAGAAACAGATGCACACCTCCATGGTCACCTGATTACTAAGAACAGTGCAAGGGCAATTCAAGGTAAATGCCTGCCACAGGGCCAAGCAACCCCAGCCCAGGTGCCTGAATTTGGTGACCACATAGAACTGGAAGCCTTACTACCAATCACTAAAACCCAGAAAGGTGCCAGTGTCCCCAAGTGAAACCAGAGAGGCACCCCATACACTGTGGCACAACCACACGGTGGGGGCCACTCAGTGGTGGAAATGACCCTGACATACACATGATGGGATGAATCACTCTAAGTCACAGAGGCCAGATGCAAAGGCTACTTACTGTTTGGCTCCATTCATAGGACATTCTGGAACTGGCAAAACAAAGGGGCATCCTAAGAGAACATGAGGCATAATGGAAATATTCTCTGTATCTTGACTGCTACGTTGGTTACATGACGCTATATATTTATCAAAACTCAGGCCGGGCGCGGTGGCTCACACCTGTAATCCTAGCACTCTGGGAGCCCAAGGCAGGAGAATCGCTCAAGGTCAGGAGTTCAAAACCAGCTGGAGCAAGAGCGAGACCCCGTCTCTACTAAAAATAGAAAGAAATTAATTGGCCAACTAAAAATATATAGAAAAAATTAGCTGGGCATGATGGCACATGCCTGTAGTCCCAGCTACTTGGGAGGCTGAGGCAGGAGGATTGCTTGAGCTCAAGAGTTTGAGTTTGTTGTGAGCATGGCACTCTGGCCCGGGCAACAGAGTGAGACTCTGTCTCAAAAAAACAAAAACAAACAAACAAAAAAACCTCATAGAACTGCACCAAAAAGTGAATTTAACTCTATGTAAACTAAAAAATCAATTGTAAAAACTGGAAAACACCTGGTCACTAATTTCTAAATTTGCAAATAGCCACGAACCAACCAACCAACCAACAGCTAGCTAAAAGACAACAAAATACCAAGAACAGGTCGCCACAAGTGTTGTGAAAAGGAAATGCCTTTTGTTTATTTTATTTTTTTCCCTTTTTAATCAGGCAACACACGCTTCTCGGTGAGCCTCTCCTTCCCAGCAGTGGCACAGGCACTTCTGAGGCAGGGACTGGGTAGCTACCACACCTCATAGGAGTCAGCCCGCAGAGAGCTCCCAAAGCCCCAGGGCCTCCCCAGCCTGCTCTGACATCTCAACCACCCGGTCCAAGCTGGGATGTCCCAGGGGAGACAGCCCCAGAACAGGGTGCTGGTACCTGTGCAAGATAGGCCAGCCAGCCCCCAAGACACTTCCTAGGAGCTATAATGACTGCCCCCTCTAAATGCT